CCCAGTCAACCACGAACTTTCGAAAACTTTGGAGGGGGTTCTGTAGGCTGTCTAAAAATCACTGCAGATAGCTGATCCCCATCAAACACCGATGATGAAAGTTACAATCTGACGACTTTCAGAATGTTACAATTTGAAGACTTTTACGTAAATCGATGAAGGTTATAATCTGACGACCTTCAAAACAACTGATGAAAGCTCTAATCAACAACCTTCACAATCAACATCGGGAGTTACAATCTGACGACTCTCACATATCAAAGAACTAAAGCAAAGATTACAAAATGACGATCTTTGCAACGCTTTGACAGAAAAAGACTACAAATCGACGATCTCTTCAAATCAAGACGTGAAAATCCTCCCAGCATACCAGCATCAAGATGTAACTCAAGCTCGGCCACTAACGTAGCGCAAACGCAGCTCAAACCTGGCCACAAACACAGCTCACATTTAGCTCCAAACGCTGCAAATGCAGCTCAAATCCAGCTGGCAACGCAGCTCATATTCGACCGCAAACGCAGCTCAGATCCAGCTGCCAATGCTGCCAATGCAGCTTCCAACGCTGCCAACGCAGCTTTTAAATCGCTGCAAACGCAGCTCAAATCCAGCTGCTAACGCTGCCAACGTAACTTCCAATTGCTGCGTTCGAGCTTCCAGACGCTACGTTCGAGCTTCCAGACACTGCGTTTGAATGTAGAATTCACGCCATAATGCGGATTTTGTGTTTGACTCATTCAAATACGAGCTAAATGGTTTCAAAACCATTTCCCATGATCTGAGGGGATCAAAACTCCACTCAGGAGTGATTTAAGGGGCGGTTACATCCTATTAGCCCCACATAGGAGCGAATTAAGGGGCGGTTACACCCCTTAATCCCCTATAAATAACTAAGAAATCAGCTTAGTTCGGATCCTTCTCTTGAGCAGCAAAGAAGAGATCTTGGGGGGAATTGCTGGAGCTTTGGAGATCAGGAACAGGAGCTTTCTTCATCCTTGGCTTATAGACCAATTTCGGTTAAATCAACTCTTTCATAGAGTTTCAAACTCGTTCAGAGTTCTAAAACTTGTCATGCAAGTTCTCCACAACGTCAAATCGTGAGGAGAAGACCACGTTCCAGTGAATCAAGACGTTCGGATCGTCAACGGAGAGCAAACTCGACGCGAGCATTCGAGGGAGGCACTCCATCGCCACCGTGAAGAACCCAGAATTAAACAAATGGGAGAATCCATATCATTCTCCTCTCTTTTGTAATCAGAAAATCCAATTGTAACTAAGATTAAAGGAATACAGATTAATTTTCCTTCATTTCTTTTTACTTCAAATTTTTCCACCAAACAATATATCATATGTCTTAAATTGCGAATCGCTAAATATCAACTCCAAAACTAAAAATAAAGGAATAAAGAAATGCAATACTAAAATGTCAACCGAACCAAGTCATATATGTCAACCCCACATCTCATGCTATCTAGTCAATACAAATATCAGTACACAATCCTGTGAAATCCACAATACCATATACCCCGTCACAAAAGAACTCATCAATGAACTACGTAAATAAATAACCTCCCGTCTAAAACTCGAGCTGTCCTAGGTTTTACAGTACTATCTCTTACAAAGTTCTATAGTATCATCACATCATTATGCGGAACAGACTACCTGTTCAGGCATCCTAAGTAAATACAGCCCACTAGCCTCATCGCATTACCATGCGGAATGGATTACCTCCTCGGGTATCCTATAGGTAAGGCTAATTAGCCTCATCACATCACCATGCGGAACGGACTATCTCCTCAGACATCCTCATCACATCACCATATGGAATGGACTGCCTCCTCAGGCATCCTATAAATACGCCTCACTAGCCTCATCGCATCACCATGCGGAACGGACTACCTCCTTAGGTATTCTCATCATATTACCATGCGGAATGAACTATCTATTCAGACATCCTGCAATTATGACTTAATGGCCTACTTCAACGGTATACCGATGTACTACCTTAAGAAGTATTGAGCTCTGTCCATCAATGGTATCCATACACACATATATTATTCTAACTAATCATCTCCCCGTCGTGGTAAAAACAATACACACAACTATCCCCTTCCTGAAAGTCCGCGTGTGCCAAGCCTCCATAGGTGTACGTCTATGTCGTATGTGTAAATCATTGTACGTCTGAACCCTATGTTCACGAACAACGTGCAAGAAAAATCATCACAAACAAGACATGATATCGATCGACTGCCCTAGGGCATTAGTCAACCGACGACAAATTCGCATAAACATGCGTAAAAACAAGCTTCAATCGAATAAAGAATTACACAAACTCAGGGTGGGATCAGTCGATCGATGCACAGGGTTCGGTCGACCAACCAGAGTCCAGGACTCAGGTTTGAGTCTCACGAAGTTTAGATAATTTCAACAAAAAGAACTTATAGAACATCATTATGAGATATAAAAACATGTTTACTCATGTGTTTAACATACTAGGGTTTGACTAAACAATTATTTATCATCATAACATGATCTTTGGGGTTTAAAAAATACTTTAAACATAACTAATCAGATTAAGTTTGTACAATTAGGGTTCAAAACCTAATTAGTTCATCATCTTAGCAATTAACCATGGTTCTAAACATCAAATTAATATCTTTTCTTCATTTAGTATTTATATTCACAGATCTACATATCAAACTAGAGTTTTTAATCCACAAGATTATATCACTATTTTGTTTCATGTTCAAGACTCAAGTTCTATACATCGACAATTAGGGTTTAGGCCATGTAAAACAAGAATTATCAATTAATCTGAAAACTAATGATCATGATCATCTATTTTTATCAATTAAAGATTAATTCTATTGATCTCTTCATTGTTTTAAGATTTAACATTAAAACTAGGATTTAAAAATCATCGAATTAAGATATACACATTAGATTAACCAATTATATATATTAAAAACATGAATTTCTATAGGGGATAGGTTTGGAGGAAGATGATCATGCCTCAATACATTGCTAAAAAATCCAAGGGTGCAAGCAAATAGGTTCTCCCTTGCCAAACGCCAACGATATCGCCCTCTTCTCGGTATTTGCTTCACAAAGCTCTCAAAAATATGCTCTAGTTTTTTTTGAGGTGAGAGGGTAGCTACTAGGGTTTAGAAATATGATGTAAAGGGAAATTTTTCATGAAAAACATAGATATATATAGAGGCAAACCCGAAACAAATAAATCTGACCCGAAATAGGAAACCCAGTCAGACTAGGAAAATAGTCTTCAGTATTTTAGCTGTAATATTTTCTTCTGATTTAAGATGATTTGGAAGGCTATTGAAGAGACCTACAACTTTTATCTTTTGAGTTTTTCTAGATTTGAACTGCATCGGCGTGTAATGCATGTATACTCTTAATTAGTCTCAAATCAATTACTATCATGCTCATTCATCATTAAATGATATTTATTATAATATAACTCATTTAATAATATTTACCATAGTATTTTTTAAAAAATTTACTGGGTTTTATAATATAGCTTGTAGTATGGCAACTACACATGTTGTCTAGATAAGACGATTTTTAATTGATCTAAATCTTAATTTGTTAGAAGGACCTATTAATATTTATTGTGATAATCAAGAAGCAATCAACTTAATCAATAGTGGTATGAATAGCTCTAAAGGAAAACACATTGACATCCAGTATCACTATATTCGAGATATTGTAGAAAAGGGAGAAGTTAAAGTGACTTGTATCCCTACTACAGATATGATTGTTGATCCTTTGACAAAAGAAATACCAGGAGAATCTTTTATCAAACATGTAAGTTTGATAGGGCTTAGGAATAAATAAGTCCAAGTAAAATTTTATGAATAATGAAATAAGAGTTACTCTCTATGAATAGTGGGAGTAATGGTAAGACAAAATATCTGATCTTACGGATAGTGGGAGGTATGTCACTTGGTTAATTTGGTCAAGTGGGAGATGTTACATTGATTCGGTCTTGTGTGACCAAATCAACAGCTGTCATGTTGTGAAAAATGTGGAAAACGTGGGAAATGGGTTGAGAGAAAATCTCTCAGGGGCAGTTATGAGGTGGTGGAGATGATGGGTATGGCCTCTATAAAAGGAGAAATGTTCTCCTTGAAACAATAACAACAACAAAAATGAATCAAACCCTCTACCTATTACCGAAGCCCCCTCAAAGAAATATGTCGTTCTTTCTCTTCTTCTCTGCAGGCGATCATGAAGGAGGACAAGGAGAGGTTGAGAGTGGAGTTGGAAGAGACCAAGGAAGGGGAGAGAGGGATGGATAGGTGTGGCAGAGTTGGAGATGGAAGAAGAAGAGAGGGAGAGAGCAAAGATATAGTTTGAGGAGTAGCACAGAAGGATAATGAACATGAAGAAAAGCAAAATGGTGAGAGGTTGAAGAGGAGTAGCGAGATAAGAGATTGAAGATAATGATACTTTAGGGAGACAAAGAGGAACGAGGTATGGTGAAAAAAAGGAGAGAGGTTGAAGTCAAAGGACAAATTCACACAAGAAATTGATCAAAGAAGGGACGAACAAAAAACCCAAAAAATAAAGTTCAAAGTAATTTTCCCTTTTTCAAAAACAATACCTAATGAAATTAAACTATTATATTAAATCTTTAACCACATTCAAAGATCAGTTTTTTTTAAAAGAATCATTTATATATTTTATTATAAACATCGATCAAGTTCACAGTTAATCTGAAAAGGCGGCTAGTTTCCTAAAAGTTGGTCGATTTTTAAAATTTTATTTCTCATATACATAGCAATGCCAATCAGTGATATTTCTTATGTGAATTGTTAATACCAAGTATATAAGAGATTGTTTTTAAAAATCAATCTACTTTCCCGATTTTTGCAATTAAATTTGAAGTTAGGGGATTTTATACTTATTATAAAGGGGTTTTCCCTATAAACCACATTAAAAATATTATCATTCTTGAAATCGCCTTTTCTTATTCTCCATAAAAATAAAAATAGAAATAAAAAACACAAAAATGGACCTGAGACTGAGAGAATCGATCTCCAACCAAAACGAGTTCGCCCTCCACCTCTCGAAGCACGTGGGGTCCACCGTCGCCGCCGGCGGAAACTTCGTCCTCTCTCCCGCCTCCCTCCACGCGATCCTCGCCCTAATCGCCGCCGGATCAAAGGGCCCCACCCTCGACCAGATCCTCTCGATTCTTCGATCGAAATCCTCCGGCGATCTCAACGCTCTCTCGTCTCAGATCGTTGACGTTGTTCTCGCTGATGGATCGGCCAGTGGTGGGCCCAAGATCAGCGTGGTTAATGGAGTTTGGGTCGATTCGTCGGTTTCTTTGAAGCGTGGGTTCAAGGAGATTGTTGCTTCGAGTTTCAAGGCTGAGGCCCGAGCTGTGGATTTCAAAACCAAGGTGATGATTTTGTTCTTTGTTTAAACCCCCTTTTAAGTGAACATTAGGGTTTAACGACGATGACAATTTATTCTCCACCGATTATTTTTAAGAGGAAGAGCTTTGGTGCAAATTAGTTTAATGATTCTAAGCATGCTAATCCGATCCATAGTAAAGTGGTCGATACACCTGACAATTACTAGTAACAGCTAATTTGGGGGAAATTTTGAGATTCGTAGCACCAAATATTAACATGATATTTTATACTGGGAAGATAAAAACGAAATCAATGAAAGAATAAGCTCATACTCTTTCCAGGCGCGGCCGCCATATCGTCTATACTTGTGCTAATAAATGCAAAGAGGCACCATGGTCAATATCGACTTTCAAACCTTGGTTGTGTCTGTAGATACACAAATCATAAATAAAGTTAGAAGCGGACATTTGTTGGCTATGATGACTATAAAATCATATTTGTGCATAACTGTTCTTTATTGATGGTATGGATCTTTAAAGTAAGTCATAATGATGTAAAAACATTTTTCAATTACATCAAAGGGTGTTGGGTATTGGCCCTCAGCAGCAAAAGACCTTCATATTTGTTTATTACTTTACCAATGTTTTTATCCTTGTTACTTATCATGTATGTATACAAAATTAATGTTCATATTATGAGATTTGCACTTGCATGAAATGGATAAGAAGGCAACAATTTTCAAATAGAGCACTCCACATTAGATCCAGGAGCAAATTTGGATCATGATCTACACCAGTTTAGCGTACATATATCATAGGACTTGAAGATCAACAGGGTGGAACCTTCTGGAAGCAAGTATGCAAGGTTGGGGTTCTGCTGTGATAGGAGATAATTTTCCATCTAAGGAAGCTGATACGCATTAATGTCTTATATAAATTAAAAGAAAAGTCATAACAGTGGACTCTTTATTAAGAAAGTAGAAAAAAGGGAAGTTTGCATTTAAGAAGCTGAGTGCAAAAGGCTAAGCATTCCCCGCCTTGGGTAAAAGTCAATATCACTTTAATACTTGGACCAAACTTTTCATAGTAAAACCCCCTTACACCACAAAAGCATATGCTCGTCATACTACATTTAAAAGAAATTCCCAATTTACCCATGTTTGGCCAACCACTTTTTTGTCATTCATTTTTTACAATCAATCGGATTTGACACTATAGAAGGAAAGAAAAAAAAGTTAGAAGAGTAAGATATTGCATTAATGAGAGTGGGAGATTTGTTTGGTGGGAAGTAAAATTGATTCCCTCCATATTATTACCATTAATTTGGGAATTCTCATTCATAATCATTTCCCTCTTCCCTTGTCTTTAACTTTTCCTCTTAACTTCACTCATAAGTTCTTCAATGACAAAATGGTTGGATTTTCTGATGTGTATGTCTTCATCAAAAATCAATATTGTCTTTATTAAAGTCGGCCTCACATTTGATGTGTGTGGCTTCATAAAAAATCAATGATGCCTTTATTAAAGTCAGTTTCACAACAAGCCTAGTTGAACTGAAGATACACACCTCAGATAGATTAAAAATACCGTATTATATAGCCATTATCATTATAGGTCTCCCATATTCTCAAAAAGATATTAAATATTATTTTAACTTTCAATAATATTTTTGAAGAAAATTTAGACTCCAATAATTATCCCAAAATAAATACATATGATGCTAACATTTCTATTCAATTGTCGGTACACTCCTATTTTAAATTTATCCTAATCCAAATAGGAATATATTATATACTAAGCAAATGGACAAATTTCAAATTAATAGATAAGGTGTAATCTACTCGGACTTATGACTTCTATTCCAACTCTAACTAGTACGAGAGCAATCGATACTCTATATTAGTACACCATTACCCCTAAAATACAACATGTATTCAATGTTGTTCTCATCTAGCTTTCTTTTGTTCATCTTCATTTATCGACCTTCGCATATAAATTGATCAGCTATTTCTACCCTTAAAATTTTGGATTTCTTTTGACAAGCTTTAAGATCCATCACCTTGTATATCAATGAAAGTTACAGAATTTGCATAGAATTATAGTTATAGAATCTCATGTCTATTTATATCAGTGTTTCAACATCATAAACCATCTGATTTTAGCGTAATATGAACAAATGACATGAAAGGTGGTCATATATTACAATTTATTAAGAATGAAATATTTAATGACTAAGTACCACAGACGGTAAAGCTTTATCACAGTTAATGATTAAGAGTTAGGGAATGACGATATATCACAGATAATTAGTAAGCATCAAGAAATAAAGCTTTGAGACAATTAATATTTAAGAGTCACATGCAATTGTAATATATCATAAATAACAAATAATTATCTCACAAAATACAAATTTATCACATTTAATTACTAAGTGTCACAATTAATTTTAATATATCACATATAATAAATAAACACCATAGGTAAGGAAGATATGCCACATGAAATTCAGAAATAACTACTTGTATACTTTTAGCCCACTTTTCTTTTTTAACTCTCTTCTTTCTTGGAGCGGTTTCAATGTCTGATTTCTCCTCTTCTTCTTCGCCTTCTCTCAGCCCATAACAAAGAGAGGCTATTCGCATTTTTCAAAGCACCACCTTGAGATCCAAATTAAGACAATTGCTAAATGTAGTAATCATGAGAACTTGTATATGATTGTGTTTTCTCGTATTTCTTGTTACATAATTATGTTATAATCTGGTTGTGTCTGATTTCAATATATGGTTAAAGGGTTCACACTTTTGGCTCCCACTAAACCCTCTATTCATCGTTAAAACTACTGAATTTATAAGAAAACATCAATCAAAATATTTCTCAACCCATCAGAAGTAAATAATTAATAAGAAAATCCATACACCCTGAGAAAAATATGTAGCTTTGTAGCAAACAATATTTTCCGTCTAACGCTCACTTATCCTTCGACTACCTTTTTGATATGTATCAAAATTTTAACAAAAAATTGACAAAAAGTAACTCTAGTCTAATTGAGCACCCTTTGTTTTAGAGAGAAAATATTGATAAGTAGTAAAAACCCAAATTTCTCCATTTTCTCATCATGCCACTTCAGCCTCTATTGCAACTGATCGTGATTGAGTCTGACAAAATTTTCTCAATGTTTCTTAATTATTTATTACATATGTATTTTACATGTGACATTTGTTATTTACATGCGACATGAATTCTTTAATTGTGAACTTTGATGTTCCATGTGACATTTGACGATTACTTGTGACATTTATTTTGTTTCTGTGATATGTATATAATACGTGTGACATTTTTACATATAGTGTTGTTGCCTTTGTTATTTGTGACATTAAGTTAAACGTTACATCTACTTCTTATTTGTGATATTAACCCATTAAATGTTAAATTTTGTTTATTACTCCTAAATTTTTGCTAATATATGTCATATTTATTTGTTTTATTGTGTCAATTTAAAATCTAGATGTAACAGATAAGAAGAAAATGCAATAAATAAACCGTGAGAATATTGCATGTAAGACGCACAAGTTACAAATATCCTAATTCCAAATTCTGGTACAACTCCATGTTTTTTAGTTGTTTGGCTTAGATAACTTCACACTTTTGTTGTAAAATGAAAAATAAAAAAAATTGTCAATTTTTTGTCTAAAAGACAGTTATGAAGACCTATCAAATCAAGTATATGCAAAAATTGAAAGTATTATCAGATCACTACTAGATAACTAATAACATTTCGTAGATGCTAAGGCAAAACCCCCATTTATATGTTGTGCTTCCTACTTAGCTTCCCTTTTCTTCTATGTTGCTGCTTTTCTTTCTTCAAATTCACTTATCATTTTTAGCTTCTTCTTCCCTATATCACATACATTTTCAGTAATGATTTAGATTGCTTGTTTCCTCCCTATGCCAAATACTACTACTTGATTATAAAACCGATTATAAAACCCTCAGCCTCCTCATCCTCTTGATTCCTATTCACTATCACAAAATAAAATCCTAGTATTCTAATAGAGCAAGACTCATCTCCTCCAGCAGTGCTCGAGATCTTAGCATTTGACATTGATAAATTCGATTTGCCGAAATCATCCATTGCCTCTGCCGCCTACTCCACCACGATAATGAACGAGAATGACTCCCCTGACGATATCATGTTCTTAGATCCAATATTACTACCTTTCAAAATTTCAACAAAAAGAAAGAAAGAAAATTGAATCTCACCATTATCTCTCAATCTCTTAGTTCGAGCTCAACTGTTACATTATTCCTTTTTTGATCTGTCAATTATTTAAAAAAGAAGAGCAGGATCACTCTTTTTAAACACTCACTACTAAATTTCTAAATAATTATTACGATAATAAAAAAAACTACATAAAAAGATTAGGTGTTAATGTTCTGCAGAGAGAAACTAAATATAGAAAATTGGAAGCAAGAAGAAAGAGGAGAGTATATTATTTTGGACTTGAGAAGAGAAGGAGAAGAAGAATACAAATGGAGAAGAAAGAGAGGAAGGGGACAAAAAGGGTAGAATTGGAAAGTAAAAAGGCATATGAGTTGTAAAGGTGTTGTAGGGGGCCAAATGATGATTTGGTTGAGTTTGGGAGGTTTTAAACTTGTCTTCTTTTCTTTGGGAGGTGGATGCATAAGTTTTCACATCCAACGGGCTATCGGCAATTTCCCCCAAAAAATTGGAAATGCATCCATAAGTAAGTGCATTAGCCTTCAACTTCATAGTTTTGGATGCATATACGATATATTACATTGTACATTTGATGTGATACATTAAAGGTGTATCAAACAAGTATTCATCAACCATTCCAGTCTCTAAGTATTGAACATATCAGATATAGGTATCAAAGAAGTTTTACCCCTACATAACACATTTAGAAAGTCTTTTTCTTGAAACATAAACTTTTAGGATCTTGTATTTTTTCTGTTCTAACTCTTCCAAGGTTGTTTGAACCTTATGAAGATACCATATAAAGTTAAAGTTAGAAACTTCATTTTGTAGCTTTTTACCACAATGGATTTAGCGTCTTAGATACACAACCAATTGGAGAGTTCACTAGAACTGGATAATGTTCTTGTTTAATGTAAGAAGTTAAAGTTAGAAACTTCATTTTGAAGCTTTTTATCACAATGGATTTAGCGTCTTTGATACACAACCAAATAGAGAGCTCACTAGAACTGGATAATGTGAGTGCGAATGGAACAATCCCTTGATACGTTTTATCAGTTTATAGTTGGGGTGGATTATTCGTTGCATAGCAATTCATAGATCATGTGAACTGACCTGTAAAGTTGATCTCGATCCAAGTTATCACATCTTTAAACAATGCATCCCTGATGAAAAATCTGGGGAGGAAAAAAATGTGACAGGAAAGAGAACTGAAAGAGGCAAAATAACGTGAGGAGGTATGATGAAAAGCAATCATTGTTCCCCAGTGATGGTATGAAAATCAATCTTATTCTGATTTATGATGACCCTTTACTGATTGGACACTGGGCCCTTAAATAATAGGGCGTTTAGGGTGCAACTGAAGGTGAACATATGCTTTAGAGGAAGAAATCGGGAACGTGAGTTTAAGTTATCCAGCCCTCAGTGATATCCATCGGCAGCTAAATCGTGCATAATTTGATTAATCTACCTCAACGCAGTGCTAGTAGTAATCAAGTATTGTAGAAACTAACATTAGATGTAGGGTCTCCGGATATATTCCCTGTAGTATCGTTGTTTTGATCTTATTACCCCTCTAGTTTTATTTTTCAGATAGACCCCTTGAGTAAAATATTTTTACTCTTTTATCCTGTGAGGTCTATTTGTCAAGAAAACAATTCTCTTTCTCTGAGGGTAAAAGAATCAAAACTGCACTAGGGGTCTGTCTGCAAAATTGGAAGTAAAGGGTTGGAAATAAGGGGGTAGTAAGTTCAAAACAGCTATACTCAGGCGGTCTATCTGCAGTTAACCTTTAAATTTAAGTGTAGAAGTTACCTGACCTACAAATGCAACTCCTACTTCTCAGTTCTCACCCAACAAAATTAAAAGGAGGAAGAAACATGCGTCGTTTTTTAGTAGTTCATGTTTGGCTATCCATTACTTGGTACTACTATGTTATTCCTAGATAGCACAGTGAACAGTAGACCAAACGGAAGCAACTGGTTGTCAATCAATAATTCGATAAATAACTGAAATGATTGACCTTATATTGATTGATTTTCATTTTTCATCATGGTGTTACTGCATATTTATCCATGCTTGTATCTCAACTCGATTGTGATTGTGTGGAAACAAATTGTGCTGATAATAATAACTGTATTGCTTGGATTTGTTGCTTGTATAGGCTGCTGCAGTGGTAAATGATGTAAATTCATGGGTTGAAAATAAGACTGCTGGTCTTATAAAAGAACTGCTACCTGCCAGATCTGTTGACAACAACACCAAGCTTGTTTTAGGTAATGCATTATACTTCAAAGGAGCCTGGGAAATAAAGTTCTACTCCTCAGAAACTGAAGACTCAGACTTCTTCCTACTTGATGGAAGTTCTGTACAAGCGCAGTTCATGACTACTAAAAAGAAGCAATATGTATTCTCCTATGATGATTTCTCGGTCCTCAGGCTCCCCTACAAGCGAGGCAATGACATGAGGCAGTTCTCTATGTGTATTTTCCTACCAAATGCAAAAGATGGATTATGGAACTTATTGGACAAGATGAGTGCTGACCCCAGATTTTTAGATCGCCATTTCCCACGACAAAAGGCCATTGTAGGAAAGTTCAAGTTGCCGAAATTCAAAATCTCATATGGGTTCGAAGCATCTGCAGCTTTAAAAAGTCTGGGTTTGGGTCTGCCTTTCACAATGGAAGGGGATTTGACAGAAATGGTGGATTTACCTCTTTATGTTTCTGCAATCTTTCACAAATCTTTTATCGAAGTTAACGAGCAAGGAACTGAAGCAGCTGGTGCTTCCGCTGCTGTGATGAAGGAAGGGTGTTCGAGGTCCTTGCCTTTGGGTCCTTTCGATTTCGAAGCTGATCATCCGTTTGCTTTTGTAATACGAGAAGACAGGACGGGAGTTGTGTTGTTCACAGGGCACGTGCTTAATCCTTCTTTATCTGGGTAAGTCAATGAATGTATCATCTCACAAGCTAGGCCCTGAGTTTTACAATGACTGCGCATTGCTGTAACAGTACATATGAGCGTATACTGGTATGAACCCGCTTACAATGTGCGTATGTTGTTGTTATAAACCTACTTCAAATGTTTTGCATATTCTTTATAAAAGTCACAGGTATTTTCTTAAAATTTAGCCACATGTTCTGATTAGCATGTGTCGGGCTCCTTTACCCGTGCTTTGTCTCTACTAGATGTGTTATTCAGAACTAATCATTCTGAATATGTTCTCTTGTATAAGGGTGTCCCTGGTGCTCCTATGACGAGAATTTCAGAGATGTATGCAATATTTCACACGTCTGCTCTTTAATTTATTTTCAAGACGCTTCGTGAATTTTGAAAATTTTGCCTGAGTACTATGCTATGTTATAAATACTCTTCAAGCTTATAATCTTAAACGTATGGTAAAGGGAAATGATAGGGGCACACCCCCAACCACATCCCAAACCACACCCCCTCTCTCATATGCTACAGTACATCGGGTCCTGAGAGAAGAAACTCCGGTAACAGGTTAAGTAACAGTTCAGTAGTTCAACGTAACCGTGTCAATGATAGAGTTTTTTCGCCGATGATTGTCAAAATTAAGGTGATTTGGCTTATGTATTTTATCTAGTAAAACAATTAAAATAGGGTCATAGAAGTAATTTTAAGCCCAAGACTGTTGAAATGTGAACAACAGTTGGATTAAAAGGGTAAAATATAAGGTAGATAATACTTTTGAGGGTAAATCAGCTATTATAATGATTTGAGGGACACACTGAGGCGTACACGCAATACGAGGGGGGCGCACATGAAAAAACAAGGTAAAAACTGCGGTATTCTGAAGAAATATATTTTTGAAGAGTATTCAGGCCTGCATTTGACGTTGGAGCTCTACATAAATAGCGGTATTTCTGAAGAATGTTATCTAGATTGACCCATTCAGGCCCACAGGACCTCAGAAATACTTGCCCGAATATTTTGTCTTCGGCTGGATATTTTTAGTTTCATTTTTCACGCATAGTATTTTATAGTTCCTAAACATCAATATAATTCGATCTGAGTCTGTTTATTCATATTCTGTTTGAATACGTTGGCAAGCACATACAATAGGAGATTAGAAATGTGTTCATGTATATAGCAATATATCTTGGTTTAATTACTGGTTGATATTTCAGAATAACGTTAACTAAAATTTATACTATTCTCATTGTATAAGATAAAATACGTTTGTCCTAAAGACATACATATTTATTTTTAGTTATTTAATATATTTCACAGTAAATATATTTAATTTTAAATATTTTTAATAAGATTCTTTAAATGTATTAAATAAATTTAAAATTAAATATTCTTTCATATTAATCATTTATAGCTTTAATATTTAATAGTATAATTTAATTGTCTAATATATTAATATTAAATATATTAATTATTGATCATATTTAATATATATAACAACCTATTAAAAAATTTTATGGCGCCTTTGAAGCAGATGGGAATTGAGCCCAGACCCCTCATATTGGATCGACTTGGCTTTGTCAGTGACTTACTAGGCCGCCCCATCTATTAAATATTAAATAAGTACTTAATATTTATCTCAATTTATATTTAATATTTGTAAATTTAACATTTAATTAAATAGATAAGAAATATAGCAAATAGATAATATTAAGTATAATTAATATTTTATCTATTAAATACTAAATAATTTTATATATATATATATATATATAATATATATATATATATATATATATATATATATATATATATTATATATATATATATATATATATATCAGAAAAATGGAGAAGAGCTGGCCAGCTCACGGCCCCGTGAGCTGACAGCTCTATGACATGTGAGCCCCCTACTCAGTCACATCTAGTAGGGGGCTCACATGTCATAGAGTTGTCAGCTCACGGGGCCGTGAGCTGACCAGCTCTTCTCCAGGCAACCTCTCTCTCTCTCTCTCTCTCTATATATATATTATATATATATATATATATATATATATATATATATATTATATATATATATATATATATATATATAATATATAACGTATGGTGGCTCCTTAGGGTGCATTATAAGAATGCACGATCTGAGCTGTCCGTTCAATAACTCTCAATACATCTCAGTCATTCATTCAAAACTTAATACCAAAAATCGCCTACCTATTTTCTATTCATACCATATTTGGCCAGCCCCTCCCACCCCCTTCGCCTCCTCCTCTCCTCCGCCGAGCTCGTTTCGGAGCTCGCCACCCTCCTCGCCCAGATCCCTTCACCTCGAGTTCCCCCTTCACGCCGCTATCCACGATCCCTCAAACAGATCTCTCCCCCTCCTCTCCTCCGCCCGCGATCGCCGTCGGACCTCGCTGCCGCCGAGTCGCCGTCGACGCTCGGCCCGCCTCTCCGATCGCTCGCCGCAACTCTTCACCTCGAAATCCCCATCACGTCGAGCTTGACGCAGCGCTGCCATCCACGATCCCTCGACCAGTTCATTCAGCGTCCTCGCCTCGTAGCCCTCCTGCCCAGAGTTCCCACCTCGCCGCTGCAATCCCCGCCTCGCCTGAGATTTCTTGATTCAACGCTCCGCCGCTCCCCGCATCGACCGCGAATTCCCACTTTCTATCTCCCGTAAATTGAGTTCAGCCTTCGCCCGCGTCGAGTAGTTGCTGCCCGCCTCGACCTCTTCACCCTCCCCCCTCTCTCTTCCTCAAGTTCCCTCTTCGCCGTAGCCGTAGCCCCCCAAGTCATGGTTTCGAACAAATTGAAAGGTCAACATCCTCGATTTCTTCAAAATCAAAGTCTTCCGCTTCTAAATGCAAGATTCCTCCAGCTTCGTAATTATTTTATTTATTTTTTGCTAAATACAGAACCTTAGATTGCGGGATGTTTATGATTGAATTCATTAACAGCATTGTCGAAAAGCGATCGATAACAATCTCACAAGGAGATTGTGTAAAGTATAGAGCAAAGTTTTGTGCAGCTCTCTTGTATGCATGCGATTCACCATATTTGTAAAATATTATTTTATTTATAATGTTCATGCTTATCTGTAATTTTTTAAAATATTATTTTATTTTTTTCCTTGGTTGTTGTTGTGTATACGAATATGTGGATGATATTATGTGGATATGTGGAAACATGTTTTATGAGATTGCATATTTCACTTAGTTTTGCAAAGATGCCCTAAATTGCAGCTATATGGCATCAAATTAATGTGATACTAGACCTTTATCTTCTAAGTCCATAAATCCTCAACCAACCAGATCAAGAATCAAGATTTTCTTTCAATTACTTGAGATAAAATGCTTTCTGGGATAAACCCCAGTTAAACCCAGAATTACAACTTACATATTTGGCTAGAGAGGTGATCTTTTGTGTTTACAACTGTTGTTAAATTCATAAACTATCACTACCTTTGTTAAATTTTAATTAATATACGAAAAAAATTTGTAACTCCTTATTCAAATTGTGTAACTTTTTAGCCCAGTTTTGTACCCACTTATTGAAGTTTTGTAACTCATAGTTCTGGAAAAAAAGTTTTATAACTCCTTATTCAAGTTTTGTAACTCTTTAGCCTAGTTTTGTACCCACTTATTGAAGTTTTGTAACTCATAGTTCTGGAAAAAAAAATTTGTAACTCCTTTGTAGGCATTAAAAAAAATGTCGAACTTCAAAACATGATGAAGGTCGTCATAGGGACGAACCTCGTCGCCCAGCGAGGATACCTATTAGGGACAAAGTTCGAAGTTCATCGTTGGAAACGAGGTTCGGAGTTCGTCGTTAGATACAAGGTTCGAAGCTGGTCATTGGAAAGGAGGTTCGGAGTTTGGAGTTCGGAGTTCGTCATTGGATATGAGGTTCGAAGCTGGTCATTGGAAATGAGATTCGGATTTGGTCGTTGGATACGAGGTTTGAAGCTTATCATCAGACTTAAAGCTTATTAGTGAAGATGAGGCTCACTACGCAGTTAGACTTAGCTATCTAAGACGAAGTTCGTTGGTGAATATGAAGCTCGTCAGACGATGTCAGTGAAGACAGTCCACAATACTACAAAGTCGACCTTGGAAGACGAACATCGCTGCATATTGAGGCTAGTTCAATATGATGAACCTCGCCATGTAGCGAGACTCGTTGTCCGCAGGAGATCCAGCTGTAACTATTTAAAGACCTAGTCATCCACATGCACTAAGCTTCAGGAGCATGTTTCGGCCCATTAACTAAAGTGCGCTGAATTGAAGGAGGCAATTACGCCTTCTACCCATAATTCAAGCACGTTAGTTACGCACTGCAAACTCTATAAATAGCCAGGAACGGCTATGGAAAGGGGGACTTTTTTTGGACTTTGAGAATATTTTTGGCGATCGCGTAAAGAGAGATTTGTGTTCGTATTCTCGTGATTTAAGCCACCATCAGAAGCTTTTGTGATATTGTTCTGATCATCAACGGGAGCCTCTGTAGGGTGAAAATTTGATTTCCCGAAAACAGGGAGTGCTCGTTTGTATTAATAAGAAGGCTTATTACAAACTAACAAATCAAATGTTTACAACAGAAGCAGAGGGAAAGCCCTCTTTGTTTTTTGTGGGGACTTTAGGTGGCTACAGGATGCTTCGCTCGATGCTCGTGTCGAGTCTGCTTCCCTTGGACCGTTCGAATGAGGTTGCTGGGGAGCTTCAGTACGCAGTAGAAGCTCGGGCCAATAGAGTTCGGGTCTGCTTAGTTCGCCGGCGATCGGAGCTCGGAACTAGGCAGTGGTGCTGTAATGCAAGGATCTGCTAACAGCTTGGTCTCAACTCTTTTTCTCCAAGTTTTGCGACCTCTCCTCCAGTGCGCTGGAAGGGGCTTTTAAACGAAAGAGGGACAGCTTGACTCATCCTTGAATTATGGGATGTGACCATATCTTCTTCAGAGACGTCTAGCTGCTCCTCGGTACCATGAATGGTCATTCGAGGGATTGTGCTTTATATCCTGTCACCTAAAATGGGAAGGCCCACCCTTGTATATGAGGTAACGGCCGTCTGCTATCCGAGTGGACTTGACCAGCATTAATGAACCGCATTTATGAGTTCGCAGACTGATGAGGTGTCTGTCCGATCACTCGTACTGTGCGTGACCGCCCGGCGTGCTTTGAGCACGGTGCTT